GGGAAAGATGGTCTTGGTCTGAAGTGGTATAGCTGCTCTAATGTACCAACTGGGCCATGTATTTTTAAACTATATGTATTTGTTAACCAGGGCAACAGTACATCTATTTACTTTCCATAGATTTTACATGTGGGACAGAAAGAGGGCTGTGCGCTCTAAGACTTCGCTTCCTATTTGCTCCTTACCTGAAGCATAATCTCTTTTTTGTGACTTCATTTATAACCATGTATACCATTAATGATTGCTGGCTGTAGAAAAATTATTATGACGTCACAAGCAGGATTACTATTTGAGGTAAAAGTGAGTGACTGAAGAAACAGTTATCCTACAAAAATGGTATTTTTTGCATTTAAATGTATTATTTGTTTGCTCAAATGTTCCAGTAAAACAGAAAGGAAGTGTTTTCCTCTTTCAAATACTGTTGGTGAACATATCTACCTACATTAGACATTTTAAGAGCCTTAAAATGGTGTTCTAGTCCTGGAAATGACACCTTCTCCAGCAGATCTGTTCCCTGTATGAATTTTGATGTATTTGTTTACTTTATTGGAAAAAAACCCAAAGAATATATTGCTGTCAGGCTTGAAAAATCAACAGAGCCCTGGAAGAAAGCTTTTTGCTGGTTTATGTATGATTAACAGAATTGGCAAAATCCCAGCTGCAAGGATCAACCACAGTCAGTCCCGTTGTCCACCAGTTATGCCCTCAGTTATCCCTGTGCACTTATGACAACAGACTGGCATTTGGCCTGTGGAATTTTTATAGTATGTAGGGAGGATGCACAGTCTAGAAGCTAAGCTTTATATTCATATCTCAGGCTCTGACTTGAGGATCAATAATTTCTTTCAATTTATTTTATTTTGAAACCCTAGTCTGACCGTTTACTTACAAACAGATTAAATTTGATCTGCAAATAATTGCCATGTAATGCAATTTATGAAAAAACCTTGATTGCTAAATGAAGAGTAAAAGTGATGTAGTTACAATTTTTCATATGCTTTAGTCAATACCTAAAATAAAAAAATCTGTAAATGTGCACTTGAATGTAGTTGAGGCACGTCTCATGATTACATTTTCTACAAGTGTTGTTTATGTAGCATACCCTATTCCCCACTGATTCTTACTTATATGGAACAAAGAAAAGGAGTAATGTATACTTCCTTTTTTTGTTAAATATGTCTAAGCTTTATACTTGTTTGCTGTGATAACACAAAAATCCCACCCCCCCTTAGTGGTACACCTCTCCCCCCCCTCCCCCCCCCCCCCCCATCCTGCAATGGGGAGAGGTGGGAGCAAGCTGCAGAGCCTATTGATTCCTACAGGGCCCTGACAACAGCCAGGCCTTCACATCCTCCTCTGCCTTCCTCTTTAGTTTACATACCAGTAAGAAGTTGACTCCTTTAATGGAATCTTTGTGTTTGAAGAGGAACAGCATTTGGGACATTCCAGCATAGCAGTGACTGAAAGGCAAAAGGTTGGGTTAGTAGTTCAGCGCAAGCCACATGCTGTACTGTTCTAAGTTGATCTGCATTACACTGCTTTGTGATATGAAGTCAATACAGTTCATTTGTTTTTGTTTGGACGATTTTCTTCCAGTTTGTAGTACTTGGCATTGTCCAAACAGCTCATAAGGAAGCAGAAAAAGAAAAGGAGGAGGAGGGAGGGAGATAAACATTCTCATGTTGTGCTCTGCTTTCCAAAAGGTCTGATTCCAGGGGTAGAGAGTCCCATTGTATTTACTTGTAATAGGTAGTACGAGAAGTTTATACTCTTCTTTATGTATTCGTGTAAATTTTTAGTTTATGTATGTCCCTTAGATTTTTTTAGTGGCTATATTTATTTTATTTTTTTTTTTAGCAGCCCACTGATGGCTTGCATGAAAAAGGAATGGTTGAAGATGTTCACTGTAGCTCCATGAAGAGTATGCGACCTCCTCACCCTGGAATGGGCCCACCTCAGAGTCCAATGGACCAACATAGCCAAGGTTTACACATATTATGCATACAATATGATTTTGGGGCCCTTTTGTGCTACAGAAAGTCACAAGTTCCTTGGAACAAGTTTCCTATATTTCCTGTGCGCTCTGTTTGGAAAGGATAAGTTGTGATATTGAGGGGAGTGGAGGAATAAATTAATTATCTTGCTTTTTGGAGTGTTCATAAACCATGTACTGAAAAAAAAGGGGTAATGTAAGGGGTTGGGTAAGGTTCTAACCTGTGATCTGGGCAACTTTGTGTAACCTTGAGCAAATCACTCAAATCCATTATAGGTTTCAATTCCCATCTATACGACAAATAATTTTCTTCTATTTTGTCAGCACTGTAAACATAAATGCATTAAAGAGTTTTATCTGTTTGAATCCTATGATGAAGGAATCGTAAGAGAGAAGTCAAGCCAACCTGGAGTGGTTGTCTTTAATATCTAACATGTTTGGTCAAGTGCTGTTCATAGTTTTTGCCAAAAAATTGTGCCCAACAACAGAAACAGAATAGAAGCTAATTTCATCACAGCTCTGCATGTCTTCTTCATGTCATTTAGCTTACAAAGTAAAAGGAAATGTATTCTATAAGCAGCTCAGTATGTTGAAGATTTAACTGATAACACTGCCTTTCATTAATTAGTTCAGCAGATAAGGTTCTGTGTAATGCATAACTAATTGTATTATATACTAATTGTTGGGGCCTGAAGATCTCTACTAAAATTAGGAGCCCCATTTTACAAATCTGTTAAGAGATGGTCCCTTTTTTAATGTGTTTTTTTGTGTTTGTTAGATTGGATAAGACAAATGGTGGGAGGAGAAAGCAGATATAGATTAGCAGAATGTCTTTGCTTGAACTGCTGTGTGACTTTGAGCGGACTGTGACTGGAATCCTGGTCTATACTTGGTCTTGTACCTGTCCTGTACCGTGAACATTGGAAAATACTGTTTTTTAGTTACACCTTTCACTATCAGTTAAGTGAAATAGAACTAACTTCTGAAGGTACACGTTCTCCACCAGATAAGTATTTTTCCCCTGATTTCAGTGGGATTCAAGCATGCTCATTTGAGAGCAAAATTCTACCTCAGTTTGCATTCAGAGACAGTTTTTCTTTGTAACAAATTTGTTCCTTAAAATGAACAGGATGTTTACTCTGAAAATGAAAACTGGTTCAATATAAACATAATATGCTAATAATACAAGTGCATTAATTGCAAATGCTTCAATTACAAATAGGTGTAAATTGTTTCCCCCTTTCATCTGCTTACTGGGTTCTGATTTCAGGTTTGTCCTTGCCCTGTAACAGATGACAGTATTAGCAACAGCTAAGGCAGACTAAAGACTGCAGCTTGGTCTTACAGGAATCTGTTCTTGGCTCAATGCTATTCAATATATTTGTCATTGATCTGGAGAAAAATAAAAACTTGTTGCTGGTAGAAATTTGCAGATAACACAGTAAATAGCAGTAGCAGTAAATAACAAAATGAACAGGTCAATTATATATGCTGACCAGGATGATAGAAAGATAAAAATGGACTGAAACAAACCAAAAACTCTCTTATTTTTTTTCTGAGATTTGGAACAAAAAAAGTGCAATTATTGTGATACAGCAGTGAAACCCACTCCGGTTAGAGTTAAGGTGTCAAAAGGATGAGGCCAGACTATTTTCAGTGATGCCCAGCGACAGGACAAGAGGCAACAGGCACAAACTGAAACACAGGAAGTTCCATCTGAACATGAGGAAAAACTTCTTTGCTGTGAGGGTGACTGAGCCCTGGAACAGGTTGCCCAGAGAGGTTGTGGAGTCTCCTTCCCTGGAGATATTCAGAACCTGCCTGGACGCGATCCTTTGCAACGTGCTCTAGATGACCCTACCTGACCATCTCTAGATGACCCAACCTGACCATCAGGTTGCTCAGGCATGATTTTCCCCTTCATAAATCCATACTGACTACTCCCAATCACCTTCTTGTCCTTAATATGTTTGGAAATGGTTTCCGGGATTATTTGCACCATCACCTTCCTAGGGATTGAGGTGAGACTGACTGGCCTGTAGTTCCCTGGATCCTCCTTCTTGCCTAGCTTGAAGAAAAGAATGACGTTTGCTTTCTTCCAGTCCTCAGGAATCTCCCGATTGCCATGACCTTTCAAAGATAGTAGAGAGCGGCCTCGAAATGACATTGGCCAGCTCCCTCCGCACTCATGGGTGCATCCCATCAGGCCCCATGGACTTGTCTATGTCCAGTTTGTTTCAATGTTCCCTAACCTGATCCTCCTCTACTGAGGGTAAGTCTTCCTTGCTCCAGACTTTCTCATGGGTCTCAGGGGACTGGGATTCCTGAAATCAAATCTTACCAGTAAAGACAGAGATGAAGGCGGCATTCAGTACCTCTGCCTTTTCTGTGTCCTTTGTCACCAGGGCCCCTGCCTCATTCAGTAGCAGGCCCACATCTCCCCTAGTCTTCCTTTTACTGCAAGTATAATTGTAAAAGCCCTTCTTGGAGCCCTTCATGTTCCTCACCAGATTCAACTCCAGGTGGGCTTTGGCTTTCCTAACCCCATCCCTGCATGCTCAGACAGTGTCTCTATATTCCTCCTGGCTCCTCTGACCCTGTTTCCTTTTTATGTTTGAGTTTAGTGAGGAGCTCCTTGTTCATTTATATGCAGGGCTCCTGCCACCTTTGCTTGACTTCCTCCACGTTGAGATGGACCGTTCTTGAGATTGGAGGAGGTGGTCCTTGGGGGCAGGGGGAATCAGCCAGTTTTCCTGGACCCTTCTTCTCTCCAGGACCACCTCCCATGGGATGCTTCCAAGCAGATTCCTGAACAGTCCAAAGTCTGCTTTCCTGAAGCCTGGGGTTGTGATCTTGCTTTTTGATTTTTTTCCCCCCTCTTCCTGTTAGGATTCTCAACTCCACCATCTCATGGTCACTGCAGCCAAAGCTGTCCCTGACCTTCACATCCCTGACCAGTTCTTCCTTTTTCGGAAGTATCAGGTCCAGCAGAGCATCTCCCCTGATTGGCTCCTCAATAACCTGTGTCAGGAAGTTATTATCAATGCACTCCAGAAATCTAGATTGCTTATGCTGTCCTGTATTGCCCTTCCAGCAGATATCAGGGATTACCACCTGGGCCCCCATGCCCTTGACCATTGCCCCCAGAGCAATGCAGCCTCTCTCAATATGTTCAAGGTCTCCTCTGGTAGCATCATTAGTGCCCATGTGGATGTGCAGCAGGGGGTAATAGTCTGAGATCCTGACAAGCCTCAGCAGTCTCTCCATGATGTCCTGGATCTGAGCCCCCAGCAAACAGCCAACCTCCCTAGACAACAGGTCAGGTTAGCAGATGGGGCCTCCTTCACCCACAGGAGGGAGTCTCCCACTATCACTTGTCACTTCCTCCTGGCACTGCTGCATGGCTCAAGCTCAGCTGGTTCAGTTGCTTCATTAGACAGAGCTCCCAGCCCCTCATTTGCCACCAGGGCAGTGAACCTATTCTGTACTTGCAGATCTGCAGGTGGAGAAGGAGCCTTCTTCCTGTTGCCAGAAGTCACAAGCTTCCAGCTTCCTTTGCCATCATGGGAGTCTCCATTTCCTAACCTGATAAGCACAGACTCTGGTTGCCCCTCCTTCAGTATACTGGGGAGTTGAGGCTCCTCTTGTATCTGCAGGGTCTCAGAGATGATCCAGTCAATCTCTTTCTTGTCACCTCTGATGCTGCACAGTTTGCTGACCTCTCCCAGCTCCTTTACTTGGCAACAGAGCTCCACCACCAGGACACACCTCCTACAGGCAAGGACACCATCTCCCCCTGCCCCAGCGAGAGGTCTCAGGCACTTCCTGCAGCCCAGGACCTGCATCCTCTGTCCAGAGTTTGGTCTGAGTCAAGGCTTCTGCTGTTACAGGGGTAGGTGCTTCAGTTCGTGCTGGAGACTGTGCTTTGTGGCACATCACCACCATTGCTGGCAGCAGCAGGCACCCTGAAGTTTTTAGAAGAGTTCCCAGGAGTCCTCCAATGATCATAGAAGAAGTTCCCAGAGGATCTAGAAGATCTTGAAGCAAATCCCAGAAATTGCTGTGCAAACTGCTGCATCTGGTGCATTCACTGCTAAGGCCAGTCCTCAGGAATTCCAGACCTTGGGGACAGGAGAGGAAGGCTGGAGAAAGGAAGACTCTCCCTTGGTGGAGGAGGATCAGGTTAGAGATCTTTTGTCCAAACTTGACACCCACAAATCCATGGGCCCCGATGGGATGCACCCACGAGTGCTGAGGGAGCTGGCGGATGTTCTTGCTGGGCCACTCTCCATCATCTTTGAAAGGTCCTGGAGATCAGGAGAGGTGCCTGAGGACTGGAAGAAAGCCAATGTCACGCCAGTCTTCAAAAAGGGCAAGAAGGAGGAGCCAGGAAACTACAGGCCTGTCAGCCTCACCTCCATCCCTGGAAAGGTGATGGAGCAGCTCCTCCTGGAGGTCCTCACTAAGCATGTGGAGGACAAGAAGGTGATCAGGAGTAGTCAGCATGGATTCACCAAAGGGAAATCATGCTTGACCAATCTGATAGCCTTCTATGACGGAATGACTGGCTGGGTAGATGAGGGGAGAGCAGTGGATGTTGTCTCCCTGGACTTCAGCAAGGCTTTTGACACTGTCTCCCATCACATCTTCCTAGGTAAACTCAGGAAGTGTGGGCTAGATTAGTGGACAGTGAGGTGGCTTGAGAACTGGCTGGATGGCCGAGCTCAGAGGGTTGTGGTGAATGGCGCAGAGTCAAGTTGGAGGCCTGTGGCTAGTGGTGTCCCCCAGGGGTCAGTCCTGGCTCCAGTCTTGTTCAATGTGTTCATCAGTGACCTGGAGGAAGGCAC